CTTTGCTATTACAACTCTTCTGAAATAAGCTCCTGCTCTGGGCTCTGTTGGCTCTAGATTTCCTATCAGGAGAACAGCTCTGAGCCCAAACGACCAAGTCCGGCTTTCAAAAGCCACGCGTGGTATTTTGCAGACCAGACTGGTGAACTGTACCAAGGAGAGTGCTCCTGAATCCCCTGAGAGGTGTGACCACATGCACTGGGCTACAAGAGGAAAGCTGGTTCAGCCCTTGCGCTCCGCCCTTCTGCATCTCAACTGCCCAAGAAACACCGCGTTTCAGTGCAGCGGCTTGCTTGGGTCCCGGCAAGACCCGGGGATGCAGGCATCGCAGACTGGGCTTTGCAAGGGGCTTTCTCCCCCTCCTTCCCTCGCTGATTTGGCTAATTTAGCAACTGCACTTTCCATTCCTCAAAATGCCACCATCCCAGCCCAATTCCCTCATTGCACACTTCGAGCTGCCCTGCTCACCCCCTGCAAGATCAAGGCATGAACTCTCCAGTGATTTTTTTGCTCCCCTCAACAAAAACCGTCGAAGAGCAGAGGAGCACCATTGCAGGATGCGATTAGCCCCCTGCGGGAAGCACGTCGGTGCCGAGCTCTACACCCGAGGGCTTTGCCTCTGAGAAAAAGCCCCGTAAAGCCAACTGAACTGCTTAAGGAGAACTGGACCCAGTGCTTAATTGGGGTGGAGGCCTTCGTACGGGCCCCTGCACCGGGGAGCTTCCACCCACCGAGAGCTTGGACCAAACCATCTTCCGAGGGCCTTGCCACCCCCGCCCAAGTGCGTGGCCCATAGCCCACTAGACAGAAACAAGTTTGTAAAACTGAAAAAAACCCCCAAAAATAATAAAAGAAAAAAAAAATTGAAACAATAAAAATGCAAATTTCAACCCTCCCCTTTGTGTGAATGAACCAGGCCAACTAGAGCAACTTCTGCTCTCCCACCTGTCAACCAAACCCCATCCCAAAGCTGCTCCCCATGTGGTTTCACACCTCTGAGTCTCAAAAACATTGAGGGTTTTCAAAAAAGGATTTACAAAAAGGCAAGGAAAGTTGGGAACTACCTGTGATTGGGATGTGACATAAGGAACCCAATATACGTGATGGCATGACACACGGTGACAACCGCATTGTTGCATTTCTGGTAATCAAGCACTAAAGACTCTTCAAGAACCACAGGTTCCCCTGAATATGGTTGTTGCTGCTGAATTGATGTGCAAGTTCATGTTTTAGCACGGGAGCCACACATATACCTCCCCCTGAACGTGCCGACGGTGCTCTTGCTGCTGTTTCTTTGCTCCGTCTACATTGAGAACAAGAGAGTAAGGCATTTGCCAATGTCTACAAGGCAAGAGGGTGCCAGGGACCCGACAACCCAAGGTTTCTCTGCTGCCAAGCTGTCTACCTTGACTGCTAAAGGCTGGTAAACAGCCCTTCCTTCACCATCCCAGCTCACAAGGACGGTCTGTGAAGGATAACAGCTTGCAGAGTGAAAGCCACGATCCAAATGTGCATCATTTGCAGAAAAAGGAAGTTTTCTGGATCCCGTCTCTGCACAAAAGCATTCGCGTGGACACCCCTGGAGCAGATGGAGCCTGCCCCTGTATTTGGTTGAAAAGAAGCATTTTGCTCCTGGCTGTTAAACAGGGCGACACACTCATTGATGTGTGAAAACGAGGGGTGTTGTTTAATTTTGGTCTAGGCAAACCTGCTCCTGAACTCATCGAGTCCGGCCCTCTGCTTACGTGAGCAGATTCTGCAGAAAACCACGAAGACCCTGCAAGGTGTCTGTCCCAACTCCTTTTAAATCAAGAAGTCTCTTTTGATCGATGGAGTGATTTTGCCTGTTCGTTACCAAAGGGACCACCATGGTGTCAAACATTTATGAATTACCAGTGCAAGACACTCCCTCACCAACCTGCAGTCTCCTTTGCTGTTTGTGCCAAAGTCCTTTCAAGATAAATAGCAAGATGTTGTTAAAATCCATGCTGAATCGAGCCTGTGAGGATGTCCGAAACAACCTGCACTGCCCAGAGCTTTGGATTAAAAGGGGACAGTCCTGCGACAGGACGTCATTCCTGCACATAACACGGGGCTTTTGAAAATTGCTGATGTTTCTTCGACTTCCTTTGGGAATATAAGCAGACCCTTTGAAGCCGTTACAAATGAACTCAGGTGGCTTCGAGCGGTATCACCTTCGCAGATGCATCTATTTACAAGTTCACGAAGTTAATGCCGAAGCTCTCCAGGTCTTGTTATGCGGTACCAAGTTGAGCTTGCAACTCTTATGTCAAGTTATTCACCAAAGCTAGATCCAATTTCAGAGTATTGAAGCCCACGGCCAGCAAAGTGCTCACTAGGTGCAAAAATGAAGTTTATTTCCTACCTATGGGGACTTTTTACCATCTTGAACCATCTACATGTTTCCCAGAGCCTGACGAAGGGACTTTGATCCCGAAAGCTTGCAGAAAAGGACAATTTTCTTGCCATTTTCCAGTTGGTCTAATAAAAGGTATCATTTTGGAACCAAGAGTTCTAGTTTTTTGCATGTCACCAGGTTTCTCCACTTTTACTTGGCTGCTGAAGGCTCATTTGAGAATATGCTCACGAGGCAGAGTCTTGGCAGATCAGAAATGAATGAAGACACGAAGGTCAGACCAGCCGGGGAAAGGAGTGATGCTGGGAATCACAAGGCTCATCTTGAGTGGACTGGAGGTCACTGGAGAGCTGTAAGTCACAACCCACCCTCTTTTAGTCCCTTTTTGGCAAAATAGCATTCTGTTGCAAAGACTGGTAAGAGTACCACGGCTTGACATGACAAAAAAAATCAGCACAATTTCAACTTCGTAACATTTAAAACACGCACTTGCAAAGAGGACCGGTGTGCTATGCAGGATTCGTCTTAGGACAGGTATGTATGATGCTTGTGAAACATTGCCAAAGACAGTGCAGGTAGATCCCGTCTCAAATATCATCCACTCGGGCCAATACACTGGACTCCCGAATGGCAACAGATCTACTAACCCTGTCCTGATATGTCTGAAACCGAGACCCAACCACGCAGCAGGTGTGTGACGTGGATTTGCTAAAGGCCAGATTGGGTATGAAAATTCAAGTCACTTGTGACTTATACCTGATTTGACACAAAGATTAAAGGCTGGTGCCTCACCCTGCTGCTTCACCGACTGCCACTGAGCCTCGAATTCAAGAAATACAAATGAACTTGTGCAGACTAACAGGGACATCGCTAACAATACAATTAAACCAGGGTATTAATCTGTACCGTTGGCCTTAATAACCGCATGTTCTGAGAAAAAGCAGGCGTTTGCAAATGCCTATCTGAATTTAGTTGAGTACCGAGTTCTTAAATAAGGTAAAGCAGGTAGAAAAGTTTGGGAAGAGCCGTTTAACTTCCCTGTTACACCAAATGAAAAATTCATCATGGATTCAGCAGACGGTGCTCACCGCAGCAGGTCTGCTGAACTGAAGCACTGGCCAAAGTTGGGGACTTGAAGCACTGCTTTAAGGCAAGGTACTGCGGGTTCAGGTGGGAGCAAGCCTCAGACACGCTTCCAACCTGCGCACCTCGGTTTTGAATTATTCCTCTACTGCGGTTTCAACCTTGTGCCAAAGCAGGTGCCAGTTTTCGGGGTGCAAGCTGAGACCATGGAACAAGTCTTCCTTGTGACCTAAATTACATTCAGAAGATTTCCAGAAGTACATGACTGCACCGCCTCCACAAACTCCGTCGTAAAAATCCCACCGATTTCTTTCCTACATCCTATGATCTTTATTTCTTCGTTCCAATGGCGTTGAAATGGCAAGTCAGTCTTCACACACATGCGTGTTTTAACATACTCCTGGCCAAGAGTGTCTATATTTTTCAATTATTTGTATTTACTGCTTTTTAAAAAAGAAACCCCGATATTGTTTAATAGTCCATATAGGCCTAAAATGCATAGGATACAACCTGCTTTTTTAACACCTCACTTTTTCTTGTCCAAAGTCCATCTAGTTTTCATTCTAGCTGCCTTCCGATTTCTGGTCCCGCCTGCTCTTGTTCTTCACCACGTAGATGAAGTAAGGAAGCGTCTCCTTCTCATTCACGGGGATATTCCCAAAACGATGGCCGATGGTCTAAAAGGACAACATTTAAAGAGGGAAAAGTTTGTGAATGAGGCAGAAAGAGTCAGAGCTACAGCATCATCTTTGGTCCTTGCGAGATGGATTTTAACTCGCCAAGCGTAACACGCTTTTTATGCAAACATGCACCAATTACAACGGTCGGTCCTCATTTCCCTCTTTATTATAGCTGAAATGTTCGTGTGAAGAATTGCCTTGCTCGGTTAAGGGTATCAGTAGCCCATTTACAAGTGGAATTTGGAAACCAGGATCTCCTCCTGCCATAGTGAAATCATCTCTCCTAGGAAAGCATTACTAGAGATAACTTTGCATTATTAGTAGAAATCCCCTCAAATCCACTCCATGCTCAGTAAGCTTGGAGAGTACATTTTCCCTGTGACTTGGTATCCTAGGGAAAGCTGATGGAGACCTAAATCGCCAAGCTTTGCTACGTGACCCAGAAGTGGCAGAGATTAATCACATCTTTGTCCAGATGAAAACGTGTTGGGGAAGCTTTTGCTGGAAGGAGCGCAAGGGGGATCCGCAATGCAGAAAAAGCAGGGATGCCAGCGGCTTCGGCAGAGACCCTGGACCATTAGGCTGCTTTTTTCCCCGTGGATGTAAAAACCACGTCATGAGGGCAGAATTACAAGATGCGTTTTCTCCTCTGGAGGAAGCGCCTCTTTTGGTACCCGACACAGCTCCAGAACTGGCTGTGGATGCAGGTTGAACAATATGAATCTCTCCAAGAAGACTTACAGAAGTTGGAGTTTTTCTTACAGTGGGTTAGAAGCAGATGTCTAAGTCTCAGGCAGAAGTGACTCAAGTGCGGGAGCCGGACGAGGATAGTTTCATAGTTCCTAGGTTTCATAGGATCCAGCGTAGGGTCAAAGCTGCTCAAACTGCACAGGAAATCTGGGAAGTGTTGGACAATTTTAAGTTAGGTTCCCCCTAAGGTTAATCTCTGCATGCATAATATTTTTGCTGGGGCAAGCAATGGGAATGCACTTCAGTACACAGTGTTTGATGGCAGGGGGGCGGTAGTTGAAAAGCTACTTACTAGTTAGATAAAATGCCAGATCCACATGAATGAGGATCCACACCTCCCCCTTCACAATCCACTCTCTCACACCATGCTGCATAATATTATGACCTGTCATTCTGTACTTTAGCTTGAAAAAGAGCAATAAAACATTTAATAAAAACTGCTTGGATGCGCCTAAAGGCCTGTCAGCCCAGCCAGAACAACACGAGCCATATGGTGGTAAAAGCCCTAGCCTGCAAAAGCAGGATTTCTTGAAAAAGGCAATCAGGACTCATAGTAGAGATGATCTCTTTTATTAGACCAACAAGATTTTTGCAAAAAAACCCAAACTTTAATTTTTTTGCAAAAATCTTGGTCGAATAAAAGAAATCATCTCTACTACGAGTCCTGATTGCCTTTTCCTTCAGACCAATACAGCTACAACATGGATACCCGACTGCTTTAAAGGCAGGGTTACCCTGAGCTAAGAGCAGATCTTCCCTCAGGACACGTTCAGATGAAGTCAGGGCAGAAAGCAGAGATGCTAGCAGTAGCCTGAAGCAAAAGAGCTGACTTTAGCCCCAGACACAGTTTCCTTAAGGATCATCCTGCCTGCAGCACTCCCCAGGTGAAAACCATTCAGTCCCATGTCTCCGGTGCAGGACTGAAGCAAACATCTCTTAAATGGGTTACCAGGCAGGTACCGGATGTCTGGATCATGGGAGGAGAGTGGGGAGGATTGGGCTAATGACTTTTCCAATAACAACAAGTGGGTATTAACAGATAATATGGGCATTTAAAGTGACTGTTAAAATGTGAGCCAGGGCTTTGCTTTACAGTTGTCTCTAGCTAATGCCTGTAAAACTGCAAACAGTGGCCAGAAGAGCACCCCATTTTTTTTTATTCTATTTGCTGTTCCATTAAATTCACTTCTTTAGTGAAAAAGTGAGGGGAGGAAGAAAAGAAAAAAAGCCATGGCAAGATACCCGTCAGGAACTGACTTCTAAATCTGTTTCTCTCCTAGCAGGGGAGAGAGTTTATGGTTTTCTAGGAGGACAATTTGCTGGAGACTCATGGTGGACCATCCCATACTTGCTAGTGGAGAGTTGCAGTAGGGGTCAGTGGCCAGGAAGGCTGTGTTTGATAGGGATCGTGGGATATACATTTTTGATTGCGCCTCGTTGAGGCCGGGCCTGGTTTGTACTTCATAATGCCTTTTGTAATGTCCCAGTGTGTTCATCTGGAGCTGGAATCGGTCAACCTGGTAGAGATCCAACAGGATAGGCAGGGAAAAACGGGATGAGAACTGGCTTCAAGGTGTCGGTCCATAATGGCTCTAAAAATAGCACTTGCTGACTTGACCTGGCTGCTCCCCGTCTACCTTCAGAGCCACAGCTGCTTGCATTAGTGACAAACATAAGTATTCTTCATGCCCGTTAATGCCATCCAGCCAAAACAGCCTCAAGGTGCACGGGAAACTCTCTCGCGTACCATCAGCAGGACTGTTAGCCAACACCCAGCCACGGGGACAAGCTCTACTCTCAATGACGCTTTTGCAATCTTGGCAATCCTTCTGCTCCCGGAGAGCTTAGATTTGCACATAAAATATTAGTTTAGCAGCCACTAAGGAAATTGCTTATGACAACACACACACACACAGGGCTTTTTATACTGTGAAGAATCAAAGTCATGGATATTTCAAGCTGTCAACACGTGATTTCTACAGAGTGAGAGCAACCATCCACAGAGGAAGGGGAGGTGGAAAGCACATACAACCACAACAGGAGATCCTGCCAAAAGGCCAGGAAGGATGGAGGAGCCACTACTATGAAGGATGAACTGCAAAGTGTCTTCTCTTTCTGTTTGAAAGCAGTCACTTCTGCAATGAAGTGCTGAATGTCACTTCCCTCTTCCCATCTAAGGCAGCGACTGCCAGACCACGGCATATGCTGCACGTGGCATGGGCAGCCTGTGTGCGTGGCGTGTAGCAAACTGGGGAAAAGGACAGGGATAGATAGGGCAGGGAGCAGAAAGCAGAGCAGAGCAGGTGGGGAGCATAGGGCAGTAAGCAGAGCAGCAGATCCAGCAAGGGAAGGGGACTGGAGTGATGCTTTGGGAGGATGCAGGGTTAATTTGTTGCATGCCTACCAAAAAAGCTGGCCCCCTCTGCTCTGGGTCACGAAGCCCAGCAAGTGAGCTTGTGCAGTCGCTATCTTTTAGGGGCCAACTGGTTCCTGGCTCCTGTTGTAACTGAACCCAGCTCTGCATTGCAAAGCTTTGCTGGGGCGGTGGTGTCAGCGAGGAGGGCGAAGACCAGCCCCTTGCTCCAGCTGACAGTCATTCGGCATGCACACCCAAAGCCATGCTGGTGCACGAGCACTTCTGTCAGGTCGGTTAACACCATTTGGGGAGACGGTGTGATATACCAGCAGAAAACATCCCGGCTGCATCTTCTGGTACCCGCTAGAGGGCTCTGCGGGCACAGCTACAGCCGCAGGGGTGGTCAAACAGCCCAGTCCTCAACAGCGTTGTAGGCTGTATGCCAGAAACACAGCAAAAGTGAGCGAGCCTAAGGGTGCGGGGAGAAGCTTATTGCATATTGCAGCATCCCAGAGCGTAGCCACAAGTGCGTTGCATTCAAGGTGTAGTTTCAAGCCCTGCGTGGGCTGCCTCTGTCTCTGTAGTGGGATTGCTGGTAGCCATGACTTTCCAAAACGATGTATGCTGTGAAAGGAAGAGGACCCGATCAGTGCTAAAAAGATTTTTTTTGCATGTGCGTGTGCTAATGCCAGAACTGGAACAACAGGCTGAATGCCTCCAACACACTCGGCTGCGGCTGTGCACACTGGGTTGCAGAGTTGCATGGTTTCCAAACATTTTTGTAACTCCCTTTCCATAAAAAGCGCTGAATGAAAAGTACCAGAGAAGATGCAAAGCTAGGGACTGACCCATCCAGGGGCAATGAAAGACAAAAGAAAATGCTCTCGATGCACCAGGATCCTTCCCACCAAAATAAAAATTCTTCTTCAAGACACTAAACACCTGTGGAAGTAACACGGCTGCAGTTTAAGTGGAAAGGAAATATTTTTCCTGGCCATGCGAGAGCACTCTAATCCAATACACAGTTTCCACCCCCCCCCCCCGATTTCAGTGACTTAATGAGACACAGGCTTCATGAGACATAGCAAGCATCACGCAATTTCAAAAGAGAAGACACTGTCTGGCGCGATGCTTACCTCTGGGACATCTATTGCATGCTCAGGAGAGTCTCCCCCATCATCGCTGGTCCGCCTCTTCCTTTTGTTTCGGACGCTGAATGAAATGCTTGTGGAAATCACCGATGTACAGGTGCCTTCACCTACGGGTCACAAGCGGCAAGGTAAGCTAGCACAACAGACACTGTAGTCAATTAGACACCAATACACACAGGACATCTATTTTAAACACAGTGCAGCAGCACGCAACACCATCCAAAATCCTGAATGACAGAAATGTGTGTGCACACCGTTAGGACTGATGAAGGGAAATATAAGCTAATGAAGGACTTTTCCTAGTGGGATAAACTTTGTGAAAAGCATGATTTTCTTTGAAAAAAAGGTAGTTAATTATTCAGCCCCTTTTTCTGTGCTTGGCGGAGGGGTTGTGCTTTCCCTTGAAAACTATTAGTGGCCTCACCGACTTGAACGGGACCATCCATGTAGATAAAAATGCAGTAGGACAGACCCTTATTACTCCTATCACGGCTATTTTTTGATCCCCAAATGCAGACACACTCCTGCAAAAAATGTATTATTTTTTACATTTGAACGCGGTCATGGAAGTGAATGTCACAGCCTAAATCCAGGGTTTTTTACAACAGGTTGCTTCAGCTGGAGCTCCTAAAGTGTCTGTCACAGTAGGATGATCTTTAAGCAAGCTCCTTCTTTAGGATATATTTCCCAAATAAGAGTTAGCATAGTCCCAAAAGGAATGTAATGATGTGAGGAAGCTGATGCTAGCGGACCACAGATTCTTTACCCCATCTCACATCCGTGCATTTCCAAGCATGGCGTATGCCTTTAATTTAATCTTTTCCACCTGTATTGTTATGTCAGTGGCCTGACTTCCCTTTCCACTTCTGTGGGTGGTTCACACAGCCACAAAAAACATGTTCATAAATGGAAAGACATGAGTGTGCTATGGTCAAGGTGAAATACCCAATTAAAAAAAAAAGACTAGATTTAAAGCTAAGTGATTCTCCTTAAAGTGATACTTTTTTCCTCTCCTGCCCTGTGAAAGAGCCTACTAACTGACCATCCATATCGTGGACAAATTCATCTTAAAATACCTTCTAATTTTTTTTCAGGCATCTCAATCTCACGTGCTGCTACAGCAACAGGTTAAATGGACAGAGGACGCAACGCGTGCGGATGGAGTCCCGTGAAAGAAACCGCTGCTGAAGGGTGTTGGTACCCAAAAGCTTGCAATGCACAATTTCTCCAGCTATTTAGCTGGTCTCATAAAAGATACCACATTTACCCAAAACACCTCATCTGCTACTGAAGCCATGCGCTTTCGCCCACGTGTAGCCGGATGCGACAAGACACCGCCTCATGCTGTCATTACCTGGCTGGCAGCAGACACGCTCTGTACCCAGCAATGAACATGCTTCTAATTCCTCCTTTTTTTTTTTAAAAAAAGAGAGATTGCATGCAATATTCAGAGCAGATTGGGACTGTTTTTAAACTACCTGCCTCAAGAGAAACCCAGGGTTTCAAGAATGCAAATACTTCCAAGGCAACTGCAGCAAGCTCAAGAGGGGGAGAAAAATTGAAACTTCCAGGAGCATAGCGTTGTGCTCTTATCCTTATTGCATTTCCTCCTCTTAATTTCTCTTATTCATTTTGAAGCCTGACCCTATCCACCAAAGTGTTGGTAACCCCTCCCTGTTTGGTGTGTACTCCCCAATTTTATGTGTGTGCTCCTCATTTCACCATCTAGGTTATCAGAGACAGTATTGAATAGAGCTGGGCCTGAACAGCCCCTGAAAACAACCTCCCGGTCTGAGAGCATGATCGGGGCGAACTATCCTCTCAAATGTGATTTTTTCTGGGCAGTTACGCACTCACCTTACGGCAACTTCATCTAGATCGTATTCTCCTCATTTAGTTCGGAGAACATCATATGGGACTGTTTCAATGGGATCAAGGCGTATTACACGTACCGCTTCCCCCTTGCTACACCAGCTGCTCTGTCCAGCGCCGACAGAAATGAGATTGGTTTGATGCAATTTGTTCTTGACAAATCCACATCGGCTGCTTCCATCACCTTGGTATCTTCGAGGCGCTTGGACATTGATTGCTAACCGGTTTTTTTTTGTTTTTATAAGCATCTTTCCTGATACTCAAGTTAGCCCGGCTGATCTTGATTTTCCCACAACCTTCTTTTGTCTTTTTTTTTTTTTTTTTTTTTTTTAAAGGTAAGTCTTTCCCCGATCCTCTGGGATCTTTCCTGTGCTCCAGGAGCGCTTGAAAATAATCTTAGGAACGATTCCTCCAGTGACACATGCTGAATTACCTTCAGACTTCTTCTTTCCTCATCGAATCCCCCCTCGTCGGGTTTGAATCTCACTTCGTTTTGCATTGCTCTTTTACAAGAGTCAACCCGCGTTTGTGCAATGAATTATTTACTTGGCTCGAATACACGCAGGCCAACATTTTCCACAAAGCCCTATGCACTGCTGTGGTTATTGAGAACTGGAGAAAGGAGGAGCCGTACAGAAAGAGGCAATTTATGCTCTTACTTGGCATTTGTATTTCTCCCAGGTGGTGACATCCAGCAGCCCGACTCCAGGGCAGGGGCCCAGGCCCTCGTGGCGGGGTCAGCTTCTGCAAGTGTGCTGCATCCACATGCTCAGATGCCAGGACCTCCACTGCTGAAACTACAGAAGCCAGATAGAAATTGTTACTGCTCCAGCATTCATTGAGCTCAAGTTTAACGTCTGCCAGCTGAAGCCATGACCGTTGCAAATCCAAATGGTCACCGCAAGACACTCATTTCCATCCCCCCCAAAATACTAGCAACCCCCATCCCTACCTTGACGTACTCATACTGGCAAGAACTGCCATCAGATCACAGAGAGCAATCCCAACTTTTGAGCAACTTTATGGACAAAATAACTTGAAGATGCATTATGATAAATGCAAAATGATGTCTTGGGTAAGTCATTTGATGAAATATCCATGGAATATGGGGGTGTTAAAACCTACAGGCACTTGGGTGTGATGTTTGCAGCTTCTCCATCAATGGTCACCAGGGTGTCTCGAGATGCAGGCCTCCTCATCACAAGTCATTCAAGTTGCAGGTTGAGAAGTCGATTCCCCCCTCACTCGCCCAGGCAGTCTTTGTGGCAAGGAGCAAACAGCTGGTTCCTGGGGTCTTCTTACTCAAGGAGTGGTACATGAATGTGGTTGCTTTTCCTGACTTGACTTGCAGGTTTACTTTGGTGAAAGGGGGGGAGCTGCAACAGCGGCAGACAGTCTCAGTGTGCTAAAGGGGAAGCAATCCCAGGTTAACTGCCCAGGTGTGTTTCTAACCCTGAATCAGCTTCCAGCAGGGAAGACTCTTGGAGAAGCTGGTCTGGATGCCCTGTCCTGGCTACCCTCGGTTGTTTGCCATAAACACGAACCCGGGCAAACATCTCCAGGCGTCAAGTGGTGGCCTAACCCTTATCGTTCTCAGTGCAAACCAGGGGCTCTTGCTGGCATCAGGATATAGAGGGTTTTTCTTCTGCATCCCTGCTGGTGCAATAAGTGGGCTGTGGGCAAGACATTTCTATAAGCATATCCACTCCCCCCAAATCCCCACTCTCTATTTAAGCCCTGCATTTAATCAAGCTGTGAATTCAGCGTGACCACTGAAGACTGTTTTAATCTCTGGAGCATTTTTGTGCTGTATCCACCGTCACCCTAGATCAGGCAACACCCAGCACAAGTGCCAGAGCATGGCACGCAAAGGCACGCACTGCCACAACAAGGATCAGGCCCCACGGCCCACCCCGGCATGCCAACTTCTTACAAACGGAGGTTGCCAATGGGTGTTTTTGGCACTGCCTCAGATGGACGGCTACAAAGAGGGGAGGGTCTCCCCCCTTGGTACAGCTGAAATAATAAGATAGGTTTGTTCCAACGCTGTTCCCAAAGGGAAATTGCTAAATTGAATGTTAAATACCTGCAGGAACTGCACACACAACGATAGCTAGATTGAAAAATTTATCTGGGGAAAAAAAAGAAAGAAAAGCAGGGAGGTCTGGTACAATTACAGTATCCTCTGGCATATTTATCTTCATGAGCTTTTGAGATTTGTCACTCCGCTCGACTAAAACTAGCTGCCTGTAAAATAAACTGCTTTGTGGAGACATTCTTTATTGGGTTCATATCGCCAGCCGGATCGAGTAATTCTCTGTGCAAACAGCAAGGGGGTGAAAAACAACGTTTCATAAACCCATCAGAACAGAGGCAGCTTTATACCGCCGGAGCTGTAATAACGGTCTGCCCATCCCAGTCTCCCTAATTTGGTTAGGACGCGCGCTGCTCGGACCTCGAAATCTAACCGCGGCACTTGCCGTTAAAACGGAGAATTGGCCGGAAGGATCAACACGCCGCCTGCTCCTCCCTGGGGTACTCGCTGTTTTGATGCATTCATGCAAAATTTGGGCTATCCACCCTGCTCTTCTCCAAGGTGCTTGCCGGTGGGGTTTTCTAGTCAGCGGACACTCAGCTTACTGCAAACAGGGGAATTTCTCCTCGCTCCGCTCACAGGATCTCCCCTTTTCCATGAAAAGAGTGTGTTCAATTCAGGCTTTGTGTAGGGCAGAGCGAGAGCAAGACCTGGGCTTTGCCTTGCACCTCCAGCCTCCTGCAGATCTCAGGTTTTCTTTTTCAAGACCAGGCCTGGAAAGGACAACACGTTTGGTCGTGCAGTTGTGTGCGAGCACATTAAGTGCATAAAAAACCACGGTGTGGCAGAATAGCGCAGGTGAGTGGTGAGCAAATTACACCAATACATTTCTGACACGCTTCTGAAGCCAGGGCTGGGTCACCGCTTAGACCCTATAACAGGCCTTTGACAAGTCCTACACGCTGATTTTTCCACCTACCTGTGCAACCGCCAGTGTGGACACAGCTGGAGAGCTCACCACGGACGTGGGGCCTTTATTTGCATTGGGCAGCGTCTCTGTCTGTTGTACCTTCACCAGACGTCACCCGCCTCTCCCGCTGGGAACAGCTCTTGGCTGCGGAGCATCTGCAGCACGGCTGTACACGCATTGCACGCCTTCTAATCCGGGCACACAACTGAAGTGAAAACAGGGGTGGTCCAGACGAGCAAATCCCCAGGGTGTTTGCAAGGACAGAGCGTGGTTATGTCAAACCCGGCGGTCCCTGCTAGAGCGGCAGGCTCTTTTTTGGAAAGGACACTGTACCGTGCAAGAACCAGGGCCAGGTAGGACTGGGCACCGTCACCGCGGGGCAGGGAAAACAGTAATGCAAGTGGGCAGTCTGTGGTGTAAGCAGAGCCATCCTAACCTTGCAGGAAAAGGATACGAGCTACGGGAAGTCAGACGCATATGGGCTTCTGGGCTTTAGCCCTTTCCTCCCATAGCCCACATGCCTATGGGCAAACAGAAGAAATGTTTCAAAGCTGTTGAGTGCGGCTTTAAAATCGGAAGCTCCTGGAGAAAAACTTCCCACCTTCTGACAGGTGTCATGCTGCCACGGGCCCATTACGCTCCCATGGATGGGGGTGCCCAGGCGAACTGCTGGGTTGCACCCTGCAGAAGGGCAAAGGAAATAGAAAGCCTGTCCCACCGAGTGCCACCCTCCCATATCTGGCAGGAAAGCCCCACGTTCAACACCCCCTTCTTAAGTCTTGATTACAGCAGCTTGCAGGCAGAGAAGAAACAAAAGCCACCTGGGCTTTTTCTAGGCGGAGTGACCCTACGGCTGGGCAGCGGCCAAAGCCCTCGTGTCTGATGGCTCTGGTGTTCCCAGGAGCGTAGGTGGGAAAGATGTTTCCCAGGAGGGTGACACAAGGCTGCCCAATGATCCAAGCGTGAGGGTGGCAGCAAAACCATGCTCTTGGCATGCCCCGACCAAGGCATCTGCTCCGTGAGAAGCAGGTGGGGGAGAAAGGGGAGCAAGCAATTGCCGCAGCAAGAGCGAGTCACTTCTGCAGACACCGAGTGTCAGAAAACACATTAAAAATTTATTTTAAATATATTATAAAAGGAAGTCCATTCAACTTTTAAAAACACTATGCATTCTATCCGAACGATCTCCGACGTATGAAAGCGACTACATTAAAGTGCTAGACATCCTTTGCCCTCCCCGGCTATTAGGAGCGTGGTCCTAATACGCGCAGAAATAAATATACACTGCTTTAAGAGGCACCGTCCAGTTTGAAAGTCAATAAGTTAAAATGCATGCAGTACAAGGAGTGAATGAACTCGGATCGTACCACCGAGGCCCCGGAGGCTGCATTTTAAACTGACATCCTAAAAGTTAAGGCTATTTGTTATTACCCTAAGGGCTAATGTTTTAATCTATTAGCTCGATTAGTTTGTATATCATTTCTTGAGCCACATTCACATTCATCTGCTTGCTAGCCGGGATGAGCGCTTTCCTCCTCATGCTGAACGAGTGGTTTTAAGACCTTGTGGTTCCTCCGTGGCGAAGAGCGAAACCCCATGCAACTGCTGGAATCGCTGCAGCCTCCTGGGCAACACAGAAGCATTGGGAAAGTTGAGGACACAATGTGAAGAGAGGAAGAGCCTGGTCAGCGAGCCCAAAACACCCGAACAAAGCTACTCGACTCTGGTTTTTACGATGGCTCATGCGCGGGTCTCGGGGTGACGCGTGACACTGAGTGCGGTGCTGGGGCAGGTCAGTTTGGGATGGTTCCACCTAGAAGCTGCAACCCAGACAAGGCAAGCACGCAGCTTAGTCGACAGGCGACGAGCCTGCAAGCGAAGACGACCCTGTGCCGCGGGATCTTCGCCTCTCGGCATCCCCAGTCTGGACGTGCCACACCGTTCCCCCGACGTCGCTCTGAATTGCATTCGCCAATTGTCACTTGGATTGAATCGCGTGACCCCTCTTCATCGGTACGTGGCAGGGCACTTACCGGAGGAGGTAAATATTACCCACGTTTACAGATGGGGGCACTGGGACCTCAACCAGCTGACCAGTAGCTGAGCTGGGAGCAGAGCCCTGGGGCACTGGGCCAGGCCGTCTCCCCTGCAAGTAGTTGAAGCTTTGCAGAAACCCCGGCAGTGGCCGATACGCCTCTCCCGTAGGTTGATGACGCTGCTTTGCCGCGTTATTAATCCGTATAAAATAAAACAAAAACAAACCATTAGATCTTTGTGGCAAACGATCCTTTCAGAATGGAAACAGCAAAGCGCTTTGCTGGTTTTTATGTTTGGTAACGGCTGCCTTGGGCATTTAATGCTCCCTCTGCCGTGGGCTGTTAACTCACAAGTGCGGCACACTCAGCCTTCAGCGTTCGGGTGCATCTCGTTACTCGTCTGCTTGTGGGAACGCAGGGGCCGGGAAGGGCAGTAACGCGGCACAACGTGCACCCCTGACCCTCACGCACTAATGAGCCAAAAGCACAGCCAGCCGGAGGGGTGAACCCCTGCCAGGCTTGGGGGTTCGTTTCTCGCCCAGCGTTACGGGCCGATGGCTCCCAGCTGTCCCCACGGCCCAGCCACAAACATCTTCCATCCTGACTGCAGCAGATAAAAAGACAAATGAAAAGCCTGCTCCCTTTCAGCCAAGCGATCCTCCAGGACGTCCGCGTGGCTTCTACGCCAGCCAATTCCCGCAAACCCGCTGCAGTCGCTTGGCTCTGCAATCGCTCTGGGGACACGGTGCTTACGCCAGGCGGCTGTGCACCGAGTTCACAAGCGTCTCGTAGGGTTTGAAACAGGCCGGCTCCCAGAGAAGCACAGGGAAAGCTTGCTGAACTGCCCGATCCAGTTTAAACGCCGCGAGCGGCTGCAGAGCGGAGGGAAGACGACGAAGGATCAGAGGAAAGCACGACTGGAAGGGACCTTGCCAACTCATCTAGTTCAGCCGCCTGCTCAGGGCAGGAGCATCCCTGACTCGATCATCCCACCCACGGGTCTGTCCAACCTGCTCTTGAGAACTGCCCCGGATGGAGATGCCACCGTGTCTACCCATCTGTCCAACGCTTGACCACCTTCAGAGTCAGAAATGTCTTCATTTCCAACCTAAACTTCCTCTGCTGCAGATTTAATATCAGTAGGCCACTGCTGCTAGTCCTGTCCCCTTGGTCACAGGGAAAAGCCCATCTCCATGCAGGTATCTAAAGAGACTTATCAAACCACCCCCCACTGTCTTCTCTTTTCCAGACTAAATAACCCTAGTTCTTTCAGCCTTTCCTTGCAAGTCTAACTTCCCAGGCCCCTAATTGTCATTTTTGTTGCTCCGTGCTAGACTTTCCATTCTGTCCACATGCTTCTTGAAGTGTGGGAGCCAAAACTGGACACAGGACTGCAGGGGAGGTCTCCCAGGGGCTGAATAGAGCGGAAGAATCACTTCCTTTGATTTGCAAGTGATACACGCTCCTTTTGAAACAACCCAGGATGCTGTTGGCTTGCTTTTTTTTTTTTTTTTTTTTTTTTTTTTTTTTTGCAACAATAGCACACTGTTGGCTCATATTCAGCTCATGGTCCACTGCTTTCTTGTTACTTTTGCATTACGGCATTTAAATGTTTTCCCCACGCTTCCCACGGATCCACAGTGCTGACTTTATAGAAGTCATCTCATTAGCCTTTCGCTTCGGTGGACGGACCTGTGGGGCTGTCGGATAGAGGCCTCGTGTCTGAACAGTTCAAGTATAAAATTGCAAAATCCTGGATGCAGGTTGAACAGATAAATACATGTGCCTTTGCCAGGGAGATCAACACAAACAGCAGCCAGCCGAGAAATCCTGCGATTCAACATCTGCTTAACTCCTGCTCGGGGCCGAGAAGAGGCTTCCATCTTCAGCCTTCACATCAAGTGTGATGAAAAGCAATTCGTAGACAACCCAGTGCATGTAGAAACCCAGGGGCCTCTGCATCTTCCGACCCCACCTTGCAGCCTCTTGCCCTCCTCCCGTTTGCACATAAAACTGGACATTTAAAAACACGCACACGCACACACCCGAATGGTAATTGCACAATGCATCAAGCTTTCTTGCAGCTCCCGCCCCCCCGCCCTCCCTCCCCCTAGCCCCCTTCACTCTTGTCCAGCAAGGCACTAGGAATTGGTTCAAGTTTAAGCATTTGCTGTCCATTTGCATTTAAAAAGGCACGTCTTTATTTTAAGGATGCTGTATTCCTCTTCCATGAAGCCCAGCCCATCATTCCTCTTGGGGAAGGGGAGAAAAAAGAAAAAAAAAACCCCCCCCAAAACACTCCTTTCTAAAGCGCACAGGACACCAACCCCATTTTGTCTGCTCGCAGGGTCGGGCGTTAGCACCGCTATGAAACAAGCACGAGCTGGAAGAGCGCTCGGTGCACACCTATGTCCATGCAGATCCCAGAGCACCTCGTGGGCATGATGCCCAGCGGTGCTTCAAGCAGCGTGACTTATGCAGCCAAGGGTAACGCTGTAAATAACCATTTTGGGGGTAAAAACAAAGAGCATGTGCTTCCCATTAAGGGCTCAATGGCGTGAAAGCCCCAAACCTGACTCACATGCAAACATGAGGATGCCTATGGATTCATGCCTGAGCAATTTTACTTATAAATAACTAAAAGTAATTGGAATAATTAACTGGCCTGCCCAGCAGAAACTCAATTAAAGATGTGGATGGTGAAATACAATTTCTATTTCTCAGTCAGCAGGGGGGCTGGCAATGGTAATACTACCCATTAGTCTTCAAAGCCTGTGGGGTACCGACACGTATAATTAATGCCAATAAATTAACAGATTGAGGATACCACCAAACGAGCAGGCAGAGACGCTGGGAATTCACAGGATGCTCCACCCAAAACCCAGTGCTTTGTCAAATGGGTCAGCAACACACCTGGATGGGTTAGTTTTGGAGAGGACAGCTTCTCAGCTTCTGTGCCGAGTCTGATAGCCACGGTGCCGGTGTCAGCGGGCACGTGTGCATCAAGCAGGGACTGCGTTAAGCCCACCTACTCATCGGGCGCAGGCTGCCAGCCAGTTTCTCTGAGCCCAATTCAGATTGCTGACTGGTAGGCAAAAGGCTGCCTTTCCTATCGCTACCTCCTCTCTGCAGCCAGCATCGGCCAAAAGCTGAGCAATGGAGAGCTCCAAACTTTGCTCACAAGGTGAGCCCAAGTACAAAGCCAGTCACATAACTCAAACAGAAGCAGATCCTTTCATTAGGTGAGGAACTAAAATGCAGGCGCTAATGTTACTAGCTGCAGGGGAATGACCTGCCATAGATTTATAGATCATTTACTGACTTGGTGTCCCTATTATAATAAACTGGTGCCATTCTCATACAAACGGCTTCTTGTTCCATGGGTACTAAAACATTCATAAAGACATCTCGTCAGGCCATTTAGCGCTCGGCAGTCAGTACCGCCAGGCTAACGAAAGCATTAATAACTTTGAGGAAGCACCCGACAGACATTCAAAGCTCTGGAAACCAGTGCTCTCCCCCAGGAAAGAGGAAGGGCTCCCCCCTACAGACACTCTCAAAGCAAAAGGGTCCCTTAATCAGCTAATGGTGACCCGGTGCAACGTGGGTCTGGGCCCTACAGCCTCCACTGCTGGAGCTGGCTGCTGCTCTCGGGGGACCAGAAACACCGCTCAAGAAAGGGCACTCGTGTGTGCCATGCTCTCCTCTCCACCCTCCCAATGGGGCACAACACAGCAAGTGGCAGCATCCTAAAATGAAACCTCCACCCACTCCCATGCACATAAGTAGCCTGCACTGAAGTATGTAGGCATGCCAAGAGGCATCCGAGGCCCTCCCAAAGTGTTGCAGCATGAACGGCTGAAGTCCTGCCTTGTAGGAGAGAGGGGAGCTGCCAGGGAGCTCCCTCGTGCAGCGTGGTGAGGAAGAAGCCTGGATCGTGGAGCTTTTTTGTTGCTGCAGAAGGTGCAGACTTATCAGGTCTTCCTGCAACCTCATGGCTGCTCTTCCCAAGCCAGTGGTTCAGCCCTTCCTGATGCCCATGCCTCCCTTTCCTATCATGCCTGTGGAGACAGCAGGTCAAACTGAGAGCTGGGCAATGGCATGGCAAATGCGTGTGGGCAGCATCTTGGCAAGAGTTAACTGCGCGGTGACTTATGAGTCCTGCCATCACCTAGAGCTGGTCACTGCTCGCTCTCTGCTGCAAGCATCTACCACGAAGGTTTCCTAGGACATGAGTTGAAGAGCGGATGCCCCACCTGACAGTGTGGCCAGAGGCCCAGCTCACCAGCAAATCCCAGCAAAACCCTCTGGCTATTTTCGTTACCAATAAATCAAGACGAGCTAGTCCCAAATCCCTATTGCCCAGCACCCAGCATACTCCAGACAGCATATTAACCTGCTGCAGACATCCAAGAGGCAGAGCCCACCGTGTCCTTAGCCTGCACTTTCCTTCCTTCCATCCCAGTTCTGAATCCTGCTTGAAGCAAAGAGGCTGCCCATCACATGAAGGGTACGTGGCAGTGTGACACGGGCACGAAGACTAATGCTCTAAAGCAGTGGCTCTCAAGCTTGTCAGATCCCAGGCACCCTCCATAACACTTTGGCATTCAGCAGCACCATTGCTTGAAATCTCTGGGTTTATCTTGGCAATCACATGTAGGTGTTTATGCACCGAATAGTGCTAGTATTGCGTGGCATCTTGAAAAGGGTCTCGTGGCATCCCAGGTGAGAACCGCTGCTCTAAAGCCGTGTCCTCCTGGGGGCTCCCTAACAGTGGTGTAAGCTCCAGTATTTACCATGGGAACAGCCACAAACTGCGGACAGATGAACGATAGGGTCATGGAAGACCAAGGCCCACGTACAGCCCTGGAGCTGGATTCAGCAAAGTGCAGCTGTCTGTACTCCGTATGAATTTGGTCTTAAGACTTGAGAAGAAAATGGGGCTGCTCCCTGGAGCGGGCTTTTCCTGCACAAAGCCCTGGGGTGCTCTCAGGCTGCCTCCTGCTGCCCGGGGGCTTGTACTCGGTGCTTTTCGTCCTTTAGAAGTACAAGGTGCCACGACTACCCGAGCTGCAGCCTGCAACATTGACAAGAAAACCCTTTCCTGCTCCTTGGCACGGCAAGACCCAGTAATGGGAGGCAGACAGTAAGATGCACGGATGTTTCCCACTGCTGCCCACCATTTACAGAAATGTGTTTCAACACCTGGCCCTGCCGCCCCATGCAATACATCCCTTGTACTCATGTCTTCCTCTGGAAGATGCTGAGGAGGTCCGAGCTGTCCTGGGTGTATTTTAAACTGGGGGGCACAGAAGACATGCTCCGTGCCAGGTTGTTCTCTGTTCTGCTGCACTGGAAGCCCGTGTCTGTGTGCCAAGGTCTCCATTACACGGGCCCTGGGCTGTATGCTCGAGTGCAAGGGATGCCTAGAGGTAAAGTGCCTATCTGGAACTGTGGTGGCAGAAGGGGAGGGCAGCACTGAACTGCGTGCAGGGCACAGCGATCGCTCGTGGCCACCCCAGCTGGGGAAGGAAGGACCCCATCCGCACTCAGAGCGTATCCTGCAGAGCCCTCTAAATCCAGAGCTCCGGCTCCCACCTCGGCCCCAGAAACGACTCTGGCCAAGCCGCCTGCAATCTCACCGTCCCCGCAAGAGGATGCAGCATCTTCAAAATAAAGCCTGGCCTGCCCGCCATGCCCCCTCCTGAGATTCTCCCTTTTACCTTAATTACCTATTGTTTTTAAAAAAAATTACTCTTTAAAAAATTTTTCTGTCACCCTCCCCAGTAAAAACGTAGAGCAAGAGCACGAGAGAGATCTGCAGTCTTTAAAGGTCGAGGTTCCGGTTAAATTTTTCCAGGACTGTTGAGTTCATGTGTTCAAAGAGCCACTGCTGGGTGGGAGAGGAGGGGTTGCAGGTGTTCATGAAGATCTTACGGTCGCTCTCGCTGCAGTCCATGCAGCTGCTGCTCACTGGGTGGTAGAGGGTCTTGTCCTGGGGAAGAGAGATGGGAAATGAGTGTGCTGGGCAGGTTTGGTAAGGAGAGCTCTTGAACGTGGGAGTTAGGGATTAAACCTCAATGTCAGAACTTCCTAGACCTTAAATGGTGGAGGCTGCAAGTGCGAGAGGAACAAGGGAAAAAACTCTGGCCATGCCCTATTCACTCTCCCGTTCAGCATCCGCCCTCTGCCCCTGTGCGATGCAGAAGACTGGGCAAGATGGACCCAGTACTCATGAGAGAGGCCCACAAGGAAAAAGCCAGGCCCATTTGACTACCATTGACCTAGCACTGTAAGGCTTTCAGGGGAGGGTGGAGGGAAATTTCCTTGGCTTTTCCCCCTCTAGCTGTTTTATCCCTCACATCCTTTCCATCCTACTCGCGAGCTTCTTGGGGGCAGCATCCATACAAGATGGAAAGGACCTGGGGATTACAGCATTTAGCCTAAAGCCTTGCTTAAAGGTTTATGCTCTTGAGGAACAAAACCTGTCTAACTGGTCTTAAATGTTGCAGCACTTGACACTGCCTGTATTAATGGATACCACCTTTCCTGTGCAGGACCATCCTTTGCATTTATAATGCTGCATCCAGCCTGCATGTGGGTTTCTCCAGGCATGGTTTCCTTTGGGAGCCTGGGCAGACCGTGACCGGCCCCTTGCCTCACTCCTACCTGCAGTGGTGTACATCAGATCTACTAACCCCAGCGCCAGCCCTTGAAATACCCCAGGTCAGCTCTGCCTGTGCACTCAAAATACCAGAGCAGCGCACAGATGCTTGGATTAATCTGTCACCACGCTGCCTTCCCCCCCTGGAGCCAGGGCCAGGTCCGGGTCTCACGACATCTGCTCAGGAAAGCAGAGTGAACTCGAAAGCTGCCTCCTGCTGCCTGCAGGCAGATGTTCTGCCCCAGCCTTGCCTTGCGCTGCACATACTGATCAGAGAGGCTGCGAGGGAAAAGCTTTTTAATTAAGAGCCTATTCACCTGTTGCTGCACAAACACCATTTGCAAGGTATTAATAAAGCTCAGCTGTTGGCGGCAAGATCCTCCGTGTTACTGAGCAGCGGATGTGACTGGCTGTAGACCAGGCTCTGGGCACAGGCAGTACTGTGCAGGCAGTCAGACAGGGAGAGGAGGCACAGGTGGGATGCCCCCTCCTTATGCAATGGGTCCCAGAGGGCCTGGGCTTCTTGCTGCTCCTTTCCCTTTTCAAAGGGAGCAGCAGGGAGCCGGTTCTTGCAATAAGGGACACCAAAGGGGATATCAGAAGCCTACCCCTGTATGAGCAACAAGGGTAGAGCTACCTGCCTCCTGAGCGAGGCCAACTGCACTCTTGTGAGAGCACATGACACGCATGCTCTGTATTGAGCTGTGAAGACCAGGCAAAGCAAGGACAGACCCTGAGCTGGGGATGCAGGTGCTCCGCTGGAGTCCTGGGTCTGGTTTTGGGGCCTGAACTTCAAGAAGGGTGTGCACAGAATGGAAAGAGTCCAGCAGAGCAATGAAAATGATGATTAGGGGCCTGGGAGACAAGACTTACAATGAAAGGCTGAAAGATCTGGGGTTACTTAGTTTGGAGAACAGATGACTGAATGGGGGGTGTTGATTATGGTCTTCAGATACCTGAAGGGTGATTACAGGGAGAATGGAGATGGACTTTTCTCTGTGGCCGTAGGGGACAGGACTAGGAGCAATGGACTAGAGCGGCAGCAGAGAAAGCAGATGGGAGATGAGGAGGAACTTTCTGACCCTGAGGATGGTCAAGCATTAGAGGGGGCTGCCTGGAGAAGTGATGCAATCTCCATCCTTGGAAGTTTTCAAGAGCAGGCAGGACGGACCTTGGGCTGCGATGGTTTAGTCAGGTTTGAGTAGGGGCTTGACTAAAAGCCCTGGCGAGGTCCCTTCCAGCCCTATGTTCCTATGGTCCTATGCACCCAGGGCTGCTGTGTACGCCAGCGGCTCCTGGCCTGGCACTCACAGCACCAGAGCGGAGGGTACTGGCAGCTGCACTCTGCAAAACAACCACGCGTGCACATTGCTTTCACTCTCTCCAGTGACAAGTGGCTTTAACGTTCTCCCTACTCGTAAGCTGTGCTCCTGGAGGAGTCCTGCCTTCAGGCACATAAAGGCTATGCCCACACCCCTCCTGATAGCACCACCTTTGTTACTGCCAAAGCAACAAGGATCTGCCTAGAGAGTCTCTTGTCACAGCTACATGACTAGCTAGAGAATAAAACATGAGCTGTTCTCATAAGGAGCCCCGGGAGACCACCGAACAGCCTGACACGTTCATAAGGAAGCGCACGCATGCACTCACTTTTCTGTATCGCCAGAGCTGGTTCCCCTTCATCCCGTGGCAGTCGTAGAGGGTCACGGGACTGCTGTGGGAAATGGCATCGAAGCAGAACTTCTTGGTGTGCTGCGGGTCTCCGGGACGGATGTCCTCTCGCCAGCTGAACGTGAACACCTGCCAGGACACCAGCATGTCTCCATCAGCATGTGGGAAGTGAGGAAGACCCAAAGTTGAGGAGCTGAGGGGGTGTTATTTTGCCTACAGAGTAGGTTGCTCTTTATCTGGGAGGCTCTTTTCTAGGAGGGGAGGGAATAAGCCACTGCTACGCTTGGAAGCTCTGGTGTTGGATGCGGGGGTCGGGAGGAGGCTGGGGTATGTCTGCACTGCAGCCTGCCCAGTCTCCACGCTGCTGCCGCCGACACCAAGACCCGGTGTTGCTGACTTGGGGTCTAACGATGCCTGTGGTCTGCCCACGCAGCCGCTTGTGGGATCTGAGATCAGGCTGGTGCTCCCCAGGCCGTGAGAAGCCGTGCCATCCGCCTGGCAGGAAAGGCAGCTCTCAAGTGGCCCTGCACCAACACCTGCCTTTCTCTGATCCATGCACATGCCGCCCTGATGATGGACCAACGGCTGTGGCAGGGAACAAAAGGACCAAAGAGACCTGTGGTGATATTAGACAGGGCAGCAGCTCTAGGCAAAGCCTGGACACTGGGGTAGCAACACACACACAGAGCCGAGTCTGGCTGGGAGTGAGTGGTCTGCAGGGAGAGGAGCTGGAGATGGGAGATTGCAAGGGAGCAGGAACACTTCCTGGAGCAGCAGAGAAGTGGTGTGGCTTCCTCATGCTGCTTTGAATCCAGGTGGTCAATCCTGCTCTGCTCTCCCCCAGCCCAAGGCAGTTTGGATCCAAAAGAAATGACCATTATCATTTAGGAACCAGTTAAACACAACCCAAATCACAGTCCTCCTAGACGCACACACCCACCCACCCACCGCTGCAGGCAACTGCTCCTGGAATCCACTACCAGAGCTACAGCCCCTTTTTGATCCCCCCCCAAACTAGTTTCATTCCCAGCTTCCTTGCATCCAAGTGCATGTACAGCAACCTCCGATCTCCTCATACTGAATCCACTTCCAGAGTCACACATTGCTCCATCACCGGCCCTTGGCTTTCTAGATCTCTTTTCAGCTCAGCTGCTCCACGGTACACAAACTAAGCCTCCCCTCCTGGTTTGTGACAATAAAGCTGTCATTTCTGGCATGTCGTGCACCCAGAGGGCAAGTCGATCATCTGGCTAGTTTCATCTCTCGCCAGCAATGACCAGTAAGTGGTTACTGAGCGTGCCTGCAGGCTCATTCATATGCATGAGGCATCTCTTATCACATCTTCCAGCAGAGCCTTTGAAGTTAATATTCACTTTGTTACCTATCATGACTGCCTTGTTACCCGCTTCTGTCATGATGTTGGCATGTTGTTTTCTCCTGCTTCAACATCAGGGTGAAAAACTCCCTAAGCAGCCTCCGAGGCTCCAGACCCCTTCCCCCTGATCTTTCCTACGACACCAAGAGCCAGAGCCTGCACCAGAGACCGTTGGTTTGCCTGGTCCTTAGGCCAGTGGGTAAGAACCCTTTCCATTGCCCTGCACTCCCATGAGAAGTGGAGCCACTGCAATATTTACAGCCCCAGGTGAACATTTAAGGACAGTTAAGGATGGAAGGAGGGTTCAGGTACCTGCACGTTGTTCCAAGCTGCCTCCCCTCTGCCTTTCACACAGGTTTCCAGCCGCAGCGGGGCTCCCAACGCGCCGTGTTTCGTGTCTACGCACAGGCCGGTGCCCAGATTCCGGATCTGCAACGTTAAGTGACTTATTAGTTCTGCCGCTGTAATCTTTGTCCAAGCGACGGTTGAGAAGCAGGATGATTTGAGCATCTGCCTTCAACAGTGGCTGTCTGCACGACAGCCGAGTGCCAGACCCCTTCTGCTATTACACAAGCGAGCTGGCGGCATTTCAGCTGCCGGGAGGCACGCGAGATCGATAAGGCAAAAATGCGATCAATCTTAAATAGCCCAATAATCTGCCTTGGGTGTCCTGCGCGCTACAGATGTGTAAAACCTATTATTTCATCATGTGCCACGAACCGAACCTGCATGCTTATAGCACTGTTTATCTCTAGACCAGGAGTGTGTGGGGATCCAGGGATACTTGGATAAGCTGTTAGGAAATAACTGTTACATCTGCACATTACTACAGTGATAGGCATGGAGCAAAACTGTAACTCATACCCCAGTACAAGGTTTAGCCACCTGTTGTTGCTTGAGAAGTTGCATCGTAACAGCTGATGTCTGCACCTGACCCTCCCCATCACTTTTAATGCTATATCTGTCTACAGCTAGAAATCACCGTCCTTGCTGACCTCCATTTTTGCAGAGGGAAAAGCAAAGGTGCAAAGCTAAATGACTCACCTAAGCTCTGCCCAGACACCTGGGTTGTTTCTAGCTCTGCTGCCGAGCACCAGGGAATCGTTCTGCCTCCCCCAGTGTCATGCACTGTACAGAAGCGGGTCAGTATGCCACATCTCCCCGTGGCTAAGCACTCAGGGAATGTCATCTAGGGCATCTGCTCTGTTCCCCAAGCTGGCCGGAGCAACCAGAACAGGAACACCGCTCTCTGAATCACCGAGAGCCTGGGCTGGGGAACACCGATGCACGGTCTGCTTGTGGGAAGGGGGCAGAGCGGTATCAGAGCTCCCAAGAAGCTCTCCTACAACCCCGTGGCCAGTCAGCCTCAGCCGGGCATGTTCAGAGGCCTCACCTCTCCCCACGCTGCAGCTGGGGGCTCCACCGGCGGGTAAAACTTGGGCAGGTCCCAGGCCACCTCGTTCATGAACCACTTGAAGCTCTTGCAGTTGAGGTTGCCGCGCAGCTCCTTCTGGGCAGCCACGTCCCCGGCGGAGAGGTGCCGGTACTCCGGCCTCCGCTGGTAGATGTACTCGGCGTACTCGTCCATCCACACCTCGGCCACACGTTTCAGGTTCTGCGCAGGCAAGAGAGGGGGGAACAGGGGGAAAAGGGTGTGAAACAACTGTCTACGTGCCTACGAGGATCCCAAGAAGAGTCAGTGCCTGGGCTCGGAAAGGCTTTTTATTTAGATGCAAACCGCCTCTCAAGCTGGAGAAAGCAAGCCCATTTTTATTACACCCTTGTACCCAGGGGCTTATAGGAAAAGATTTTTTTGGCTGAGGTCAAGACAGACTTCTGGAATTCAGCCATTGTGTCGGGCTCCCCGCAGCGATGAGAATAGCATTAGTCACAAGTTGTTAAAAAAAAAATAACAAGCCCAAGAGCAGAATGAGCGACACCAGTAAATGCCACTGGACATTTAAAGGCCTGAGATGAAAGCTTCCTGCCTCTCCCGCTCTAATTCAGGCTGCTGCATCCTTTCCGTCTTCCTTTCTGAAGCCGATTTGCAGTGCCCGCTCCAGCAAGCATCGGCTCACACTGCTCTCTTCTCCGCCTTCAGCTCTGCTATAGAAAGAGCTATTTAAGGGAAACGGGTCTCACATGCTGCGTTCAATGAAAATAATGCCGAAAAGCCCAGCAGCCAGGAGATCCTTTTGTGAGCTAACTCGAACTCTGTGCTATCCCTGGAACAAGAGTCCTGCCTGTATCTGGGAGAAATATGGCTATTGACAGAGATGCAGCAGCTAACGGCACATCTGGAACGACGGTCACTGGATGGCTCCATCAGTCTTCCCAAATGTTGTGTGTGAACAGCTGGATGGACGTCAGCACTGACCGCCACAACCGAGCTGCCCAGTGACAACAGGCCAACACGGACAGCCTGATACCACAGGTACAGCAGGACCTGAGGGTGCCATGGGGCACATCTCCGAGCCACACACACAAACTACCCGATAGTTTCCAGGGAGGGTTCAAGCGTAGCGTAGGTGGCACTCGCTCACCACTGCATTGTACAGCTGCACTGCACCAGGCCCAAACTGAGCCCCAGGTGGACGCACGCTTTAGCCAAAACCATCCCCTCATCTGGCTTGTTTCCACAGCTTCCCGCTGGACTGCCCTGTCTGTCCCCAATTCCCTCTGATGTCCTGGAGGAGCTAAGGAGGAACATTGCTGCATTGCAAGAGACTGTGCGCTGTGAAGACTTCTGATGACTAAGAAGGCAGAGGACAGACGAGCATGGGCTCGCTTCGGGAGGGAGCCACATGGTCCAAATCCCTCGTTAGCCCAAAGCCCATTTCAGCCCGTCAGGACAGGGGCAGGAGGCAAGCTCATTCTTGGTGTTGCTTTGCAGCCTTGTTCCTATAAAACCCGTTCCCAGCAGAGGGCACCATCGCCCCTTTCCAAAATCTGCGCTCCGCGGCCAATTTTAGAGAGCCGGCGCACAGCGTGCAGGCTTACTGCCCTCCCTCCCTCTCCGAGCTAAACTAATTAAGAAATCAGACTGGACAGGCCTTTGCATCCTTCAGAATTATAGCCTGCTTCTCCCGTGCACTGTGAGGCTTGAGGCAGATATGTCTTTCAGCGCCTAAGCGGTGCTACCCCTACTCCGAAATGTGCCGCTCCCAGTTTTTAGCTCTCGGGCAATTGGCATTTCCTGCAAAAGCCACACTGTACCTTTTGGTGGGGATGGTGGTCCAAGTCACAACTGTACCGGCCCTGACACTTTCCATCACGGCCAAAGTTAGCTTTCAGATGCAATCAGACATGCTCTCAGCAAGGGCGATGGGGAGAAGTGTGCCTGCCCTTGGAAGTCGGGTTTGCTGTTGCTATCTCCATGCATGAGACAGCTTAGACAAAGCTCAGCCTGGTCAGCTCCCCGGACGTAGCTGCCCCTTTGGCACCCAAAGCTGCAAAGGAAGTTAACGAGGAGTGTGCTCACCCGTGCCAGGCTGACTCCGGTCGGGACCTTGTATGGCACATATTTCCTGTAGATATGGCCCACTCGGGAGCAAGGGATGTCCTCCATGCGGCCGCCGCACATCCACACCTGTGGGAGGGCAGAGAGGGGCAGACCCGCAGTGAGAACTCACTCCCGATCCAAAGCCCAGCTTCCAAAAGCCAGAGAAGAAAAAAAACATTTAACCCATCTCTGTGCTTTAAGTCGCATCTTCTTTGTCAAACGCCCTCTTGGTATTTTGCAAACCTGACTCCCATTGCCCCGGCGCTCTCAATTTAGGCAACGTGTTAGCCAGCTGGCTGCACAGGTGCTGCCTGTACACTCGGCCATCAGTCGGCAAGGCCCAAACAACGTTGAGCATCACAGCCCAGTGCTGGCTTAAGTTAACGTGGGTGGTTATGGCACACAGGAGTCATGCCGATTAAAAACTGGACCCTTGTGCAAAACCCTGTGCTCCATATCCAATAGCCGAAGGCAAGCAAGACAGCCCTGTAGTTCAGATCGTGTGGTGCACAAACTCCTTTGAAGGAATTATTCATAAGCCTGCCTACGCTTCAAACCACAAAATACTGGCTCCTACATGCCTCTGTGCTCTCGCTGGGTACCAGGGTAAGGCCTTGGATGTTGCCACTGTGATTTTAGTGCTGGCATGTGCCCTTACAATTAGTGGAAGTCCCTGCCTGGTGAAATACAATTACCTTTAAAAGCCCTCAAAGTCAATGGGAGAGAACATTAGTTGCAGAATAACGACCTGATGCTTGATTAACGTCAAGGTGAGGCCAAGAAGTTTATTTTCCAGGCAGAAAGCATCAATTCTGTGCCAACATCCTGCAACAACTTTCTTTGATTCCTAGATTAGCATGGCTGCAGTCAGAGGGAATGAAGTACAGCGACTGCCGGTCTCTGGGCAAGCAGAAGAAAGCTTTTGCAGGGGTGGAAGGAATACATCTGCATGCTTCGTCAGAAAATATCTAGTCTATTATTGACCAAAGCACCTTACATTTTTAGAAAGGGGCTACTTTATGACTTCGTTTGTATGTTTTTCCCTCTAAAATGCTGCCTCAGCAAAAGAGCTGGGCAAACACTTTAACATCCCGATGGATGCTCCATTAAGGGTATTGCTGGCTCCTGCTGACTTTTTAAACAGCTCCTTCCAGCTTTTGTTCCCTACAAATGAGTCACCGCTGTCTTGCCCTTCATCCCCTCTTTGTACCCAAAAGCACTATGCACATTTCATAGCTGATGTTACAAGTCGACAGTGTTATTGGTCCCTCCATTAGTCACGCCTGATTTGTGCTGCTGCAATTCACTGGACAATGAGCGTAGTAAAACAGTCTCATGTAGGGAAGGCCATTCGTTAAATGTCTAGGGCTACAATATTCACTATGTGGCAAGGAAAAGCAATGTTTGGCCAATGCTTCTGCATAGTCCCTAGCTACGACTCTCACGTCTGTTGAGTGTTGTCTTTAGCCAACCTCCCCCTTCCATGCCTAACTGCATCAAGCTAATGAAGTTTCATCTCTGTTGGGTCAGTTCCCATGGGCAAAATCCCACCAACTCAGGGTGCAGACAGACTAACAATTATACCAAGTGACGGGGGTATACGTTGCTCTGATGCCACTTACATCTGCATGTTCCTACAGCAGTGCAAGAGCCGCAAAACCCATGCAACCATTTCAGTCCGGGTCAGCTACAGCAACTTAGCTGGCTTAATACACTGCTGGAGGATGCAGGACTTCTCACTGATGCTCAGGCCTACAAAACGGCGTTTTCAGTCTGATCCAAATTACTGCCAGTCCGTCTTGGGCGCTGAGCACAGGGCAGCTGCTACAGATGAACGTGGTCTGAAATCACCGTTATATCTTCATGTTCTTCTATCAATAGGTGCTGTTGCAGACGAAAAAACTCCTCTCTGCAGTGCAAGACGGCCTGCGGCTGGAACAGGATTCTGCAGCTTGGACGTACCGGAGGAAGCACTAGCAACTGAGAAGCCTGCAAAGATAGGCGGGTGCCAGCCCATGAACTGTCTCAAAGACCATCTTCTCCACCCAGAAGCATGGCCTACCTGTGATGGGAACAGGGGCCTCTCTCACCCAGCCTATGTTGAACCTCCGCTGTCCTCTGACCATGGGCCAGATGCTCTCCAGCACTCTTCTAGTGGAGATGAGCAAGCTGGGAGAAGCCAGGCGAGAAAAGCAGGCTTGGCCTATGTAGCCTGGCAAAGAAGATCTCAGCCATGATGGGAAAATACCATGCATGATACCGCGTGATGACACGCGGCTATACGAGGTCAGGTGCTGAAAGAGCATGGGGCAAGAGATGGGGCTACGGACCTACTTTCCGCCCGCGCTGTAAAACATCTGGCTGGCATGAGTCTATAGCATCAGGCAGATGCAACGGCAAAGGCCAGCTGGGTCTTCTGAAACTTTCCAGCAGCTCCACGTGCTCCAAGTGCCGCCGCAGCCCTCCAGAAGCACGCCTGCTTCCCATTCACTCGTTGCTGCTTTGATTTATTTTATTAGCGAGCTGCTTTGTGCGGTGACAGAACTCGTCGCAGCCTGCATAAAGACAATTACCAGTCCTTATCTATAAAATGGGAAGGAAATGGCAGGGGGAGTGTGACATTCATCAGCAAAACAGAGCTAACAAAAAGCAGCAGAAAAAGTTAGCACTAAAGGGAGGAGGGAACCCCCCAGATAATTAAGGGCTTGTCGAGGAATACATGGAGGGGAAACAAACCCCGAGTGCCAGAGTGAAGGGAGGGAGGCAATGCGCTCTGCCTGGTTGTTTTAAAATAAGGGCACGGCTCATCTTCGAGACATCAAGCTCTGTAACGGCGCTGGAGCAAAGTGCAGAAGACTCCTTCCCTTTCCGTCAGGCGGTGTCCTGGGAGTGCACAGCCTTTATCCGGACTGACTGCTTTCTCCCCATTAACATCGGAGCTGGGGTTTTCTGCACGGCGCCTGAGCAAATATAATCTCTCTTGGCTGACGAGACGGCAGACATCCGAGTTCCGGTTTGATGAGCTGCGCTTCTCAGCTCAAACAGCCATTTGCTAAAGCTCCTCGAGGACAGCTAAATCCAGTCAGGGAAGCCAGTGATTTATGCAGGGAGCTCATCAGGTCGCTTAAGAGAAGCGGGGCCCTGCCATTTCCGAAGTCCTGAGCTCAGAGGCTAATGCACACGACTTCAGTGCAGCTGGGAGTCCTTCTGCCTCTGAAGTCAGTGGGAGTTTTGCAGATGACTTGATCGCGGCTAGGACTAGAAACAAGGCTGAAACCATGGGCTTGTTCACGTGCTTGCACAAGGGACACCATTCCCATCTGTTCCCGGGGACTGAGAGCGACAACCCGTATGCGCAAAGCCATGGGGGGTCTTGAAAGGAAGCACAAGGCAAACCTGCAACCCCTCTCCCCTACCCTGATGTTCAGCAGCTCCACTCCCTTTCTGCCGCTGCAAAAAGCAGCATCAGACAAGACTTCAGGAAAAAAAATACAGCTGCCGTTAGTGCAGGAATCCAAGTGATTTGGGCACACGGGGTTTGCAGGTCCTGAAGGCTGTGTCATGATGACATGCTTCCCTAGAGGGAAGCCAAGAAGTTAGCCAGGACCAAGAGAGAACAGTTTTCTTCAGCCCAGCATGGGAAAAAGAAAGCAAGGGGCCTGGGAGCAGGAAAGGGAGAAAGTTGTGGCTTGTGCAGGCGCTGTTGCGAGGCCCGTGGAAAGGAAAGGAGGATCACAGCTCTCTGACTAATGGAAGGCGAAAGCCACGGGAGCAGCAGGGAAGAGCAGCTAGGACCGGTCTCAGCCTCACCGCTGCGAGCATCAGCTGCCCTCACAGCTATGAACTTCTCCATCCTCCCCTGACAAGGGACTAAGGTTGTTCAAAGACTCGGCACACCACGCCTTCCCCAGCAGCAGGCTGCTCGCTGCCATCAGGAGCATTTTACACCATGCCAGTAGCAGCTCCCGATAACTGCTTCCTGGGTTGACACCCACCTCCTACCTGGTGCCAGGTCAGAGCCTTCTTTGGGACCAACCTGATGGAGAGGCCACCTCTCTACTCCAAATGAATGGAGGAGGAGAGATCCCTTCCCCACTTTTCATGGGAAGCGGAGACCGCACAGAAGGAAGGAGATCTGCTTGGACTCAAGGAAGCGACAGAAAGCCTGACCTGGTCGAGGCTGGGCCAATGCAAGAGAGCCGACGACACGCAGACTCGGCGGTACATGAAACCGCTGGATGGAGGCCACCCCCTCCGCAGCTGTGCCCGAAGCCTGGCACCTGCGGAGAGGCCAGCGGAGGTGGAAAACAACCGGGGCCAGCGGAGATGAAAATCAGCCAGCCGCTGCTCTGGCAGCTGGAAGGGGAAGGGGAAGGGGAGCGAGGCAGGCAGCACTGCAGAGTCCCACTCACCGGAGAACATGCCACCTGATTTATCGCCGTCGGCAGCAGAGAAGCGTTCACACGTGTGCTTCTCGGGGAGCACGGGGACTTGTGACCCCCAGAACCAGTGCGGAAGGCATTACCACTGCTGACCAAGACAGCAGGGCACTCGACATACAAGCACAATATTTCCTTGTCCCTGCACCACCTCAGCACCCTTGGACGGGAACAGCGGGTGCTTGGATTTCTGTATAGGGTGACAGCCTCCTTATTTATAGCCAGATGATCCCAATATGGAGCCCTAAAAATATGGTTCAGACCGAGGCATCAAGGTCAGATGCTTCCCAACCTCCAAGTCCAGGTGACAATGAAAAAAAATGCAAAGAGGCTGGTGAGCCATGCCTTTGCCCTTCAGAGGCTGCATGCACTCAGCCCTGGGACTGTCCACATGGAGCTTCGACTTCTCATCTGCTCCCCCTGGCCTAGGCATCAGCACTGGGATCGCCTTTCCTGTGCCCTTTATTTAGGCAGTGCAGTGAAGACTATGCACATCTGGGAATAAGAGCCCTAGAAGGACCAACGTAAGCAGAGGATGGGATGGCAGATGAAATCAGGTGTCGGCAAATGCTCGACAAGGTAACAAGCTGGCTGGATCTATTTAAATGCCTGGCACATGCTGGGGTGTTCTGAATTAGCTTTAATCTT